ACCCAGGAAACTGAATTCAGAGTATAAGAAAATTCAGCCACATGAGTAGGATACCCACACCTAAGAATCATGCTGTGGTAGGAGACAGTTTGTGTGTTTCTCAGTAGATATTTTCCCCAACCATGGACCAGCGTGCCAGTTCTCCACCAGTATGTTAGTCTGTATTTTACCCCGGTGAAAATACTGAGTACGCCTGAGTAAGCAAATAACTTTCCTGAAACAATCTTTTCATTTGGCTTCAAGAAAGTCAAGATATTTTACTTGGTTGATGAGCAAAATAGGTAGTCAGGTGACTTCTAAACTAGTAGTTCATAGTCCAGCTCTTATGAGCCCCTAAGATCTTTTCAGAAGGCCCAAGAAGACAAAATTATTTTCAAAATATTTCAAGACACTGTTTGCCTATGCACACTCATTCTCTCACAACTGTACATTGAAGTTTTCCAGAGGTCCTAACTTATGATATCTTAAAACACTAAATCCAGGAGTAAACATGGAAATTCAGGTGTCTTTTATTAAGTCAAACATTAAAGATTAGAAAGCCAAAGTTATTAGCAAAAATGTAAAACAATGCCACTCTCACTTGTTTCTTTTTATTAAAGATTAATTTATTTATGCATACAGAACTGGGGTCCAGGCCAGAGGTGCAGGGGTTGTGAGAGGATTCACCAGAGACAGAATGAGGACCAGAATAGGCAAATCAACAAAGTACACTGCTGAGGGGAGCAGCGGGTGAGACAGGAGAGAGGTCTGCTGCACCATGTGGGTCAGCTCCAGGTGGGGATGGAGCTAGTACCTACGCTGGCTTTGGCCAGCTTTGCAGTGCTGTGCTTTAACCTGCTGTGCTGCCAGGGAGGACCCATTTTATTGCTTTCCAATAGTTATTTTTTTTATTAAAATTTTATGCTAGCTTGTTGTTTTTAAACAAATTTAATTATCAATTTTATACAAACACAGTAAATATCAACAAATATAACCTACTTAAATAGAAGTTCTGTGGGCTCCTCAATAATTTTTAAGACTAAAAGGGGTACTGAGAGCCACTTTTCTAGATCTTCCTGTATTAATTTTATCAAACAATTATAACTTTTAACTTTCTAAGTACCACTGAAGAGATTTGTTGCCCTAAAGATAATTTCAGAAACTTGTCTTGATAAAACCAAAAAAAAAGCTTACAATCTTTAAAAAGAATTTTACCCATTAATTAAAATAAAAAATCATTTACTGTATCTTCCCAAAATATAATTAATAACAATGTCAAAACTAAAGTACAGGCTAGTAGATCACTATCTATAAATGTTAGTGAAACTGTGATTATTTGAGTATTTGTAATAACTATTGGAAAGGCTATACAGCAACTATTCTGCTATGGACTATAATCCCAATTCCCAAATCCATAGCAAGACTAATCAAGATGCGTATAAGCAATTCTCTGAACCACAATCTTAACAGTTCAAAATAAAAACTTTGTTTTATCTGAGTGATTCAGAATTTTTATTGCTGCTGGAAAGTACAAAAAATTTGATATTAAACTCCCATTTGGATCCAATCTTTATATTGTTAGTAAATTATGGTAGGTGTAGCAAGACACACAATTATTAGAATCCTTCAGGATGCCCAGTAATGATAGTTTTTGAAAATATAGACTGAAGGGAAATACCTCTGAAAAGTTTTTGAGACCAGCAGAAACAACAAATAATAGATAATTTTGCATTTATGTTCAAACTAAAATAAGATTAAAAATATTTTTAAACTATTTATTATACATATTACAGTTAAGATCCCTAAATCAATAACTATCTAATTCAAGAGTTATTTAGGGCGCTCCCTGATTGGTATAATGGATAAAAGTGCAGCATTAAGAAGATATCCACAGCCAGGGAGGTGACCCACATGGTGTGTCAGACCCCTCCTGTTTCCCCTGAAGTTGCCCTCAGCAGTGTATTTCACTAGATCTGCCTGTTCTGTTTCCCACTGTCTCTGGCGAGTCTTCTCATGTCCTATACCCCAATTCCTCTATGCATAAATAAACAAATCTTTAAAAAAATTATTTAAACCTAGGTTATTGAAATACCCAAGAATGAGGTAACCAAGTGGAAAAGCACTTAAAGGCTACAAAGAAACAGTGCTCCTCAGATATTTATAGATTCAACACATATTTATTAAATTGCCTACTATTTACAAAACCCTGAGCAAGCTATGAACTTCATAATATGATGAGAAGACAATTCCATAGGTGAACCTACACTTAAGTAAATAGGTAAACTATTCTTAAAGCAATGGGCTCAACAGATACTCCAGAATGGGAGTAAGTTCTATCTGAAAAGTGCTAGAAGAGGAAGAGAAAAGGAAGGAGAGATGTCTTCTAACAGAAGGGGCCAGGGAACATACATCCTGGAAAAAAGGCCTCTAATCTGGATCTTAAACATAAAATGAAATTTTAACAAGTAACCATTGAAAGTGAAAGATTATCCAAGAGGAGGAAAAAGTATACATTCAAGGAACAGAAAGTACAAAATAGTTTCTAAATAACTTGAGATATACTCCAGGAGAAGAAAAAGACTTGAAAATTAGGTTAAAAGCAAAAAAAGAGGAACTTACAGGACAGAGTAAGGAATTTGGGGTGGGTTGCTTTTTGTATTGTTTCCAAAAGGCAAAAGGAAGCCATTGGAAGGTCTTTAAGTCACTGGAAGACTTACCATTGGAAGGTAAGTCATCAGAAAATACTTTAATAATACTGTGAACTAGACAAAGTAGAAACTGAGAAGTAACTGTGCTTATTACACCAGTCCAGGCAGGAAATATGAGCTTGATCTGAGATAAGAACTAGGAAAAAGACAGATACAAGACATGCTGCAACTTCACTACTAATGTACCTAGTTTTTAATGCTTCAAAACTTTTTCACACAAAACAAGGTTGGTGTTCAAATTTTCATTAAAAGCCATTCATTTCACAGGCATTATTTTAGCATATTTAAAGGCATTTCTTTTTTTAAAAAGTTGTTAGGGATAACTAAGTATTCTATATTAAGGCTACAAAATGGGTGACAAACAACAACATGAGTATTTTCAATAATTCTGAATAGAACCTAGTATGCAAAATTTCATCAAGGATGACCATTTTGAACTAAAAAGTTTATATCCAACAGAATAGACAAAAGTTTGGATCAGAAATTTCCATATAACCTCATAAGACACCACCACATAATTATAATAGTCAACCTTTCTTAAAATCATTTTAGATAACTCAACTCAACTTGGCCAATATTTTACTACTAGGCCTTCATTTTTCAGTTTTCCAACATTAATGCCTTCTTCATTTTCTCCCCTCCTCCCCACTCATCTCTCCGCCCAACAAATTCCCTTTGTATGTCTGCAAAGCAAGATGCTGAATGATACAGTATGATTCTGAGCAGTATGAATATATAATTCCTATAGTAGCAAAAATAAAGAATTATTAACCTTATTTTTTACAGAAGAAGAATCAACGATGTATTAAATTTCCATTTACATGAGTGACAAATGCATCTAATAGAAATGATGCTTTACCATTAGGAGGAAACAAAGGGGAAAAAACACAATAGATGGGTGGTAAATCTTACAAACTTTGCAAAACACTGAAAAGATGCATCTAGATTGCAGTCACAATCATAAAAGCAGGTAAAGAAGGCTCCAAAACGAGAGGAAAAGAAAAATTCTAGGTGATCATTGAAAGTAACAAAAAGGTTGATTCAGTATCAGCATTAGTTTGAAACATAGCACCATTTAATACTCTACAACTAATTTTTTTAAAAAAGGATAATTCACTGTTCACAAGGACACACGAAACAATTCTATATGCATTCTATAAGACAGTTATACTTCATTACACTTCCATGGGCTCAAATCCTTTCAAACGTTTCCAAAATTATATAGCCTTATAGTAATGAGGTTCCCCAACGACACACGATTTATTAACTAAAACACATTTTTAAGACATAAAGAGTTCATCCTCAACAAAATAAGAAGCACAAAGGCCCTTTACTTATTCAAAATCATTACATAAAGCACTGTGTATAATTGCAACCAGGGTTTGAAAATCTGACAGCTAATAATCACAAAATGGGGTAGACTTTAAAGGAAATCACCCAACTTTTCCATTTTCCCCTTCCTCTTCCTTTCCTCGCATATACACAAAATGTCTGTAAAGGTCTCACACAAAGCTCTAAATTAAAAATACAGTATCTATATACATTATGTGTATTCCAACATATCACCCATATGTACATATCACATCTATTCACAGAAGGCAGATTGCTCCTTTTTTACTATTAAGAACTGAAGTTATATTAAACCTATCCCACATATTAAATCACCATAAATTAAAGAGTAGTAAAACACTGCACGTAGATCTCTGAGCGACTATATATTTCTAAGAAGAAAAACCTCTGAATGAGGCCATGACTGAATAAGCAAGCCCAATCCCTGAAAATCACTAACCGGCATTTGGTTTCTGTAAGAAAAAAAGGCGGGGGGGGGGGGGAGTCTTAAATGAATAATCACATAAGCAACCCAGTTTCAAAAGTTAACGAAGGTAAAACCAGAAAGCAAAGGAGACAAATGTTTGAAATGGCAAATTTTAAAGCATTCCTCCGAAGGGAAAGACTCCCTAGGACATAAAGCATCCTTTGCAGGTAGAATAGTCTTTAATTGAAAAAAGAAAAAGAGGGGGGAGCACGACAAAACCCTAACGACACGCAAAGGCAAAGAAGTAAAAGAAACGGGTCTCTGCTCCCACCCCCACTCCAGCCCCCACCCCCCACCCTCGCAGGACAATAGGATCAAGGTCCTAACTGCAAACTTTGAACGCGTAAAACAGCAGCAGTTTTACTGCAGCTCTAACTGCAAATCTGCCTCTCATCCGAACCTAACGCACTAGAAATACTTCTGCCCTGAAAACATCACCAACGTCTCGTTAAACACAAACCAGACCCATCACAAGATTTTTTTTTTCTCCCAAGTACCTGGAGGATCCATTTCAATATAAAATATCAGTTCTGTCGAATAGGGCATCATCACCTCCCTCCAGTCTGCGTCATCGCGGTCCATACTCCACACCGTATTGTACATCTCGCTGTCAGGGGCAGGTCGTCAGGAGATATATAGAAAGCATATATATATACACATATATATTTTTTTATCTAATACTTAAAAATCTAAAAATGTATATCTGTAAAAGTCCCACAAGGAAATGTACTTCGGGATTTCCAAAGGCCGGTACTAGTCCAGCCAACTAGTAGACGAGGACCGGGTCCTTCCTCTCTTCCTACAGCACCCAGCAAAAGCAAAATGCACCCCCCGAACTTTTAGTTTATGGGTCTTCCTCCTCAGAGAGGTAAAGGGAGGCTTGGGGGTAGAAGGGCAGAGGTGTTTAAACGAGGCGTCCCAAAAAATCCCTTCTACACAGTCGTTTTCCAAAGAGAAGAGCTCCCACTGCCTCCAGAGCTTTACGCGGAAGCCACTTTTGTGTCCTTCGCGTGAGGGAGAATGGGGAAAAAAAAGAAGAAAAAAAAAAAGGCTTTGGGAGAAAGGTGAAGTGACAAAGGCGGGCATAAAAGGGGGGCTGGGTATTGCGTTCAAGTTTCGGGGTCCCACTAGTCTGCAGAGAGCGATCCCCTCAGGGGCCAGGACTTGGGCTCGGCTCCTGTCGGGCTCGGAACCGAAAGGTGCTGCAGCCTCCGGAGTGGGGCCCGTCGGAGAGTCCAGGCGGCTCTGCTCCGCTAGGCGCTCTCGCCCGGCAGTAAGCGAGCCCGCCGGAGCCCGCTCCCCTCACGCTCTGCCCGGACTCCAGCCACTAGAGTTTCATTTTAACGGCGCGGAGGGGGGAACAATGTCCCCCTCCCCCACGCTCCCCCGCTGAGGTGCCACCCAGCCGCGCGGGGCAGGGGAGACGACCAGCATCCCCACTGCCCCTTCCACTATCTTCCGCTTTGGTGTGCTGGGGATTAGGTCAGGTGCCTAAGAAAGTGTTCAGGAAACTGTCCTCCATCTCAGCTTTCCTCTCTCTCCATCTCTGTCTAGCACTCGGCGCCCTAAGGATCCACCAAGCCTCTCCCCCAGCCTCCAACAAATGGTACGGCCCGGGCGCTGGCCGCTCGCCAGGAGTCAGTGCCGGGAGCACGCGAGCTGGGCTGGCAGGGAGAGGAGAGAGGGGAGGGGTGGGGGGGGAGGATAAGGGGGATTGTGATTGGCTGATCCCAGTTGCCGGACCCCGGAGCCTGCGTCTTTTGTCTGCCTCGCTCCGGCGAGGGAGCGGGAGATGACTGCGCGCCCCGAGCGGGCCAATCAGGAGCTATCCGGCGCCGGCCGGTGAGGCGGCGATTGGTCAGAGCCCAGTTACTAAGCGGGACAAAGGCAGAAGGGGGAAAGAGAAGAAAAGGAGGAAAAAAATAGAAAGAAAGAAAGCGCAAACGGCGGTTACTGACAGGCTGGGCGAGCGCTTGGGGGCTCAAGCTGCCCGGAGACGGGCGGGGCTCCCGCTGAGGCTCGGTTCGGACGAGCGGGAGAGGGGGAGGACCGCTGGCGCGAGACACCTCTGCCCGGAGACTGGCTGCCGGGGGAGGGGCCGGGGAGCGGACGGAGCGGGGCGCTAGCTGTCACTTGGCGGGACGCGCGCTCTTCTGGTCCTTCGGAGTCCCGGGACCGCCTCTCCCCACTGACCGGTTCGTCATGCGGGGACAGCTCCCCCCAAAGCCCGCGATAAGTTGTCAAATAAAGCAAAGGTCCCGGAACCCACTTGCAGGACCGTTGCGGCTCAGGGAGATGTGTCCTGTCCGGCCCGACGGTCCCCACTTTTCTCCTGGAATGGTCATTTCTCGAGATATTTCGCAGTTCCTTTGAGCTTACCACCCAAGGACTTTCGAACCTAGAGTAACTCCCCACATTTGCAATACCGAGTCGCTGCAGTCCCCTTAGCTTGAGTGAGTACTCAAGCCAGGGTGGGGGGAAGCAGCAGCAGGGACTTTCAATTATACCGTGCGTGTGTGACTTCTATAGTAAATCACAGGTGCTGAGATCCCTCACCAAAAGGATTCTATTCTAACAAACTAGATCCCTTTCCACACACCCAGTCCTTCGCACCCCCCAAGCTGAAAACTAAGATAGGCTTCTACGTGAAAATGCTGAATATTGCTCTGCATTTCAAAAACAGCCAATTAAGTTGCTGGGGAGCTCTGATAGGGAAAAGCAGATCTGGTGAATGTAGTGCCTGGCATTACCCTCCTGCGTACCTACAATACATACTGGGGAGGCCAAAAAATGCTCCATTTCCTTTTTACACTGGAGTAACAAAGCCCATTGTGTTGGGGTTGACAACCAGATTTAAGCCCTAGCAAAACCTCCTATACTGAGTAGTTCTGTGATATTGATTGGTTCCTGCGAAGAGTTGCCACGTTTCACCTCCTAAAGTGGTTCTGCTTTCTTTAAAGGTGCTCTCAGTTGAAACAGTTCAGTTGCAGATAGGTAAAATGTGTATGAACCGGGTATAGAGTCATGGGTTAAAAAGTACCAGTAAGAAAGAGTGGACAAGGTTGAGCTGAAAAATTCGTGAAGATTATTAGGTTTGCTCTCTGACATTTCTGAAATCCAAATGTGATTCAGAAGCCAGATCAACGTTGGGGTCAGGCATGTTAATTTGAACTTCCCGAACCATTCCTCTATGTAGAAGATGCCGGAAGAGCAACTCTAATTGTGGCTGGCTTCCCAGCATTCTCTTTACTTCATCCTATCTGGGAGCCAGAAGTACTCACATTTGATAACTCAAAAGGCAGGACAATCAGTCAAGGGCAAAATGGTTTATTTTTGTTCATAGGTGTCCCTGTGCATTCCCAAACAAAATGAGGGTGAAGAGAGGAAGTGTGGAAAAGATGATGGCTTTCAGATTTCCATGCAGCTTTAGCTTGGGTCACTTTTCATCATTTACTAATGGGGTTTCAATCTCTACTACACAGAGCAATCATCCAGGCCTTTCTCACAGTAAGGCTTTGAGGGATGCAGTGAAAAAGCATCACAGTATATAATCTAATGCTCAACACTGGCACTGGAGTAAAGCTGTGATTCAACCTTGCTACCTAAAATTGCATGACCCGACTGTCCAACTAAAATAAAATAAACCTTTGACTAGGACACCTCCAAAGAACAACACTAATGCAGGAGGCAACACTGAATCAGAGAAGTGCACTTCCTTCTCATGGGCTTGAACCAATACTCCACAAAGATGGGGAATACCTATCACATGATGTCGGCTTTACTTTCTTTTACTTGAGAAATAGAAGTGAGGTTCTGACTGCTTGTCACCAAACTGCTTCAGGCTCTTTGGCAAAGGCAGAGAGTGTTAGCTCTGGTGTCCTGGACCACTTCCATCCTAGAGGATTATATTTGGCCTGGGTGTGGATTAAATTCAGCTCTAAAAGCTCAAACTCCTGGGTTACAACCTGCTACTTTGAGAGTTGTTTTTATCCCCCTCCCCTTAGTCTCTCCCCTGCCTTTCTTTACAGTAGTCTTAGGTAAATCACAAAATCCATCTGCCTCCATTTATATATCTGTGAAATAGGAGCTTGCCTTTAGATGTGTGCAAGCTGCTTAGTTTATTGTAAAATACTCTAAGAATGGAAAAAAAAAGCCATTTAAGTACTTAGAATTAAATAGTACCTTCCCTAGGTCCAAATGGATAGGGTATCCTTCACTTTTCATCCCAGTATGGTCTCACTATAAAACTGTTCAAATATGCTCCATTTCCGAAGCCCTTTTCATTTCAGAGTTGGATGAAATATTTCTTCTGTGTACTGAATATAGGGTATGATCTCAGAACTCTCTGCACCAGCAGAATTGGCCTGGAACTCAGCCAAATTCTTTGTGATTAAAGGTGCCATCTGAGCACACACACACACACACACACACAATATATATATATATATATATATATATATATATATATATATAACCTTGCAAAATGAAAACATACCTTATTATTTTTTTAAGGTCACTCACTTAAACACCAGAACTGATTTTGGCCTTTGGGGAAGTATTATTGGCCTCAATTCCCCTCTTTTTTTTTTTTTCTTTCTTCTTATATCATCTTTCCGTGACCACTGTCTTGTGAAAAAGCCAATGCTATGTGGCTAATTAAGCTCACTTAAGTGGAATTCTTTACAAATTATCAATTGGAGATTTCTGGACCTCCCTAGTTACATGCCTTACAAATTGGGTATGTATCGCATTTTGAGGAAAAAGTGGCTTTACAATGTGAATAGAGCAAGGCTGATAGATCTTCTGAAAAGACATCCCACCTGGGAATTAAGTCATCTACTGAGACAGTGATGTCTAAAATCATAGTTTTCTATATTTTTTCAAGACAGTATTTCTTTAAGTTGGCATTTGCAGTTTTTTTTTTTAACCTCTTTTATACATCTTTCCTAACGTTCCCCTCTTTTTAGTGTCTAAATAACTCAGGACCACCTGGATTGTATGTCAGCCACTGCTGCAAACTTTCCCTCATCAAGACTTGGCTTTCAACTCCCCTCACCAGGAGATAGAGAGCAAATGAGATCCAAATGGCAGGAACAATAGTCCTGGATGTTTCCCTGAGGGCAGGGCACAAACAGGTGAGGCAGCTGATGATCTCTGTCACCTCATTTAGTGTCCGTAATCCTGAAAATTTTTATTCTTATTTTACAGATGAGGAAATTGAAACCCAGAGAAGTGAGAGGACTTATTCAAAGTCACAGTCACCTAGGAGCAGAGCCAGGATTAGAACCCCAACTCCTGACAGCCAGGTCAGTACCTGTCTACCATGCAACACAGTTCCTTCTTTCTTTCATTCACTTAGTGAATGTTTATTGATGTTTTCAAACCATGGGGATACAAAAATGAATAAGGCACAGTGCCTAACATTGAGCCCAGCCCCATTGAGGAGTACCCAAAAAAGGAATAGTTATAGAACTGTGATAAATACTACAATAAAGAGATTAACAAAGTGCTGGGTGAGCCCCCCAAAAGAGTGATTATCTATGGCCACATGGAGGTGAGTAAAGACTTCCTAGGACAGGTGACATTTGGGCTACCCCAAACTTGTATTCATGTACTTTAAACTTCTAGTTTTCTCCTTTTACATCTCAGTTCCCCCAATCCATAAGATTAGCTCCAAGACTGAAAGAATTTAATTGAAAACTGACCCCAAAATCACATAACCAAAGAGTTTGTCATCATCTTTACTTGGCTACAACAATCTCTTCATAATCTCCCTACCTTATCTCCTCTAGTTCATATTCTACACAGAGCGAGGATTTAAGTGAAAAATCTGAACATGTCACTCCTTTCCATAAAACTACAGTAATTCCATTTCCCTTCAGGATAGCTCAGCATTCAAGGCTTCAGTGATTTGTCCCTGCCTAGGGCGCCAGTCTCTCCTCACATAGTTCTTCCTGTCATTCCTAAGAACTACCTATATATTGAAGGACTGCTGTTCTTAGAACAGTAGGTTTTTTTCTCCACACTATGCCCTTCACTACAAAGTGGCAAACTCCCCTATGTTCATCTGACCTGGCAAACTGCACTCACTGAGCACCCTCTCTTGGCATCTGTACAGCTCTTGGCACACCATTTTCAAAGTGTGTTTCCAGGTCTGTCTCTCCCCTGCCTCCACTCCAGGAGTGGAGTTTCCTTTTAGGAAACTTTTAGTAGGTGGAAAATGTGTCCTGGACTCATCAGTGCCCAGTGATGTACAGGGGGGATAGTCAGTGAACATTGTCTTATGAGTAAGAAAAAGTCACAAAAAGAAACTAAACTTCACAAGAAGTTTCTCAAGGAGAAAAGTTCAGGTAACCCTAATAATCCTTTTTGTAGACCTTCAGCTGAGTT